CGCAACTTCTTTTCCGCGCTCGCTTAGGGATAAGCAATGCCGCGGCAACGCACTGTACCAAATTAATACAGTGTAGACGTGCAGAACGAACCTCACGCTCGTGCTAAATGCCAACAACGCCGGCCGCGCGAGCAACAATTGATCGCAGCCGCTCCCGGATGTCCGAGCGCCCGAGTGTCGCTCTAGCAGCGTACGAAAAAATTGAAGAATCAGCGTAAGAAGAAAGAAAAATGGGGATTTTCTTCCTTGAAGAAAATTAAATTTATCAATATCAATTTATTGACGTTCAAACGGCACGTCATATCTTTATATTTTGGATTTTTAGCTATTTGTTGTTCGAAAATGCGCGGTTCAATATGCTGTTCCTTGGGTATTATTGTTTGAAAAAGAAAACTCGGACTATTATATTATGGTTTTATTCCGTTGAATATTTTGGGGATGAATTTTAATTTTATTAGAAATAAAATTTAAATTCGTAATAATTTTATTAGAAATAATAAAATTATTTATTAGGAATAATTTTATTAGAAAAAAGTAATGTTATTTTAATTTTAGATATTTCATTTTTGCTGAAATTCCATTCCTTGAAGATCTGGAAGACATTAAATTTTTTTAATTTTAATTTGATTTAGTATCAAAAATATCCTACGAAATATATGAAATTAGATCGATTTTTTTTTATTTCAGACGATTACGTGAGGAGCAGTATGTCATTTTTTTACATATTGCACGAGACTCGAACAAGAAAAAGTTAAATACTTCTAAAATAATCTAAAAATCTAATATCTAAAAATACTATGCATTGTTTATATTATATTGTATATTATATTGTCAATAAAATATATATAAAACGTCAAAAAGAACTTCAAAAGCAACTTTTAATATTTTTAAAAATAATTCCTAAAAATCATCAATTATATTCATGCTGCTAGAATGTCACTGATATTATGGGATTTTTAAAGTGGAAGCTGGGATTTTAGATTGGAAAAGATCAGAAACTCTTTTCCCCCTTCCGCTCCTTCTTGTTGAATTTATGATATCATTAATATCATTATTATAATATTATTATATAAAAACATGTTATAAATATTAATATTATTATATAAAAAAATTTTATAAAAAATGTTATTTATTATTACTTTTTATGCTGAAGAACATTAAGAGAAGACTGCATTTATGAGCTATGATATAACGTCAAAAAATACGATTTTATATTAAAAATGGCTACAAGATATCGAAAATAAGATTAAAATCAATCAATCAAGATCACAAAATCAAATTAAAGAACGTAATATCTCCTCATTAATGAATATCCTATTATAATATATATTATGTTTCAAAAATTTATATACAAATGATTTAGGTTATTAATCGATTTAAATTATCTTTCGTTGATAAACTCTGTGGTTTTTCTATCTACTTTGATATATATTCAAAGCTCTTATTAATTTGATATTCTAATCACGAGAAATCTATTTAAGATATGTATGGCATAATTAAATACTAATTTATTGCTAATTTGTTTTAATCTAACTTTTATTGTTCGCGAAATAAATATTTAGAAAATAATCAAAAACACTTTCCCCAATATTCATATAATTACTGAAAAGTAAATTATATTGCGTGTAATATAACTAAATTATTAATAATTAATTGCTCTCGAGATGCTACTCAAGACACTGTTCCCGAATTTCATATTCGTCAAATAAGAATTCTCAATTATTTTCTAAACTCTTACTTCAAGATTATATATATATATATATATATATATATATATATATATATATATATAAGATAAAACATAATTTAATTCATCGGTACACGATGCGCAACAGCGCAATCCATTTTAATATTAAAATAGTTTCTAAATTAATCACTTTCAAGATACCAATCCCGAACTTCATATTCGTCAATAAATAAGTTTTTGATTATTTATTTTCTGAATTTATTTTTAAATTAAGATAAAAAATAATTTAATTCACACGATATATAACGGCACAATACATTACATAATGTTAATTTATAAAATATAAATTTATTTAAATCATTTAAAATAATGTCCGAAATAATTAGTATTTCAAAAAATAATTATCGCGATTAAATGTTTATATATTCGTCTTTTTAAATATTGGAAATTACAAAATTTCCGAAAAATCTTTATATATATATATATATATATATATATATATATATATATAAGTTAAACAACATGATATAAATAAAAATTTAATTCTGAATAATTTTAATGAATAAACGAATAAATTAAGAAATAAAGTTATATTAAGTTAATGAATAAAATTTTAAAATGTATAAATATAAATTATTAATTATAAATCTTATAATAAATATTTAAATTATTCCAAAACAAGACAGAATATTCTACATGCATTATATTACTATAATGTAAAATAAATTATCACTATATAAATAAGTAAACAAATATTTTTATAAGTGACATGCAATTAATTAGTGCAATTAATTAATTAATGTATAAAAATTATACATTACTCATAGCTGCTTCGCCTGATGCCTTCGCCATTTTCTTTTCATTTGTTTTTCTCCCGTCAGTTTGTCCATTGTCGCTCCTTTAATTCTTTGACACTCATATAATAATCACGAAACGAATTCATGATTAATTATGATCTCAGGCGCACTAATTATCAGAATATCAGACGATCGCGTAATACTTTACATGGCACTCCTGACGTTAATTGAACACGACGCTCACTTTATTTTATATTTCGACCAAAGAAACGCAATTCGCAGTGCTTAAAATACGAGATCAATAAGGATTATACTTGTTAATTAAACGCGTTTCAAATACGCTCGAGTCGATCTATTCCGTATCCGGGATCTTATTAATGACAGAGCGCGAATATGACATCAGCAAAATTGCACTCTAATAATGCGCGCTGAATTAATGGCTAATTGAGACGTGATAATCGCGAAAATTAATTGATTGTGCAGTTTGAATAGCCAATAAGCTGTATGAAATGATCGCGTTTCATAAGCTTTCAGTGCTTGTCACCATCATATTTCCAGATGTTATGCGACAATACAGTGTTTCGCCGCGTGTGAATGATAACAAATCCACCGCACATGTTTTTGTTCGACGTATGATTGTATTATTCTCTGTTTACATACGTTCTGTTGTTGTTGTGCGCGCGGTGAATAACATGTATAATATAATCGTGACAAGTAAGAATCGCTAAAATCGTTTCTTACAAATAGTTAAAGATTGTCAAGCAGCACGATTAAATAATTTTTGTAATTATCATTAATTCTCAATTAGTATAATGTCAAACGCGTGGATCAGAGCAAAATTACGATATCATTTTCCATTTTTTTCTGTCATTAAATATCACAATAAATTAATACAAAAAATAGATTGACACGACAATCATCGCAATGAATTTAATTAATAAAAAAAAATATAATCTCACGCTTGATATTCTCGTAATTTAATATTTATCACATACCACAAATTCCCTGTTTATATATGAATGATCTGTTTTTGATGATTCATTTGATATAATTAAATCGAGCGAATCGGCGAAGAATATGATATAAGTTTAAATGTTGCATTTTTTTTTATCGCGGAAATATATATGTTTCTAATTTTAACTGTATATATTTATTTTAATTTATTCATTTCAATCAATATTCATTTCAATTTTAACTTGTATTCGTTTGTATTATAATGAGAGATAGTAAAATTGCCGTAAAAAATACGTGCGTGTACTATTCATTAGTGGACATTAGGTAGCGTTGTGTAAATTGACTGTGCGACTTTTGCGTCGAGTACAGATGGTGGCTTCATGCAACTGTCGCAATATAAATTGACATCGTATATACGATTAATGAAAGTGCTATGTAAAGTGCCATGCGATCGTTGTATTCTGATGATTAGCGCGATCGTAATTAATCGTATTTTCGCGAGTGTGAGTATCGCGAGTGGCATGAAAATAAGTGGACAAACAAACAAAAGGAGAAACATCAGGCGATGCAATCATTGAATGAATTTACGATCATAATAATAATTATTTGTTATTTGTACAATTAATCACTTGTTTTATATACGCGGTTGTCACTCATTTTGTAATCTGCGTAATATGATTTGTATAAAACATTTCAGATCTTATCTCGAATCATTTAAAATATTTAATAAAATATATTTATAATTAATAATTAATTATATATATATATATATATATTATATATATATTATATATATATATTATATATATATATTAAATATATATATATATATATATATTTATATAATATTTGGTATTATGTAAGATTTGTAATTTTGTAACTATTTAAATTTTATTCTTGATACGAGAGAGAGTGTCAGAGCGTTTTCAGACTTATTTTGCAAACAATAAATTCGAAACTAGAATATTTCAATTAATTTTGAAAATAGTTTAATATCAAATTGATATTGTTATTAATTTATTTCCGATCATTTTAAACTGTTTTATATAATTGTTATATAATTAGGATAAGATGTTGTGCCGATAAAAATAGTGTTCAAAATGTTTCAAAATTCTTGAAATTTGTGAAACTTCAAATCTATCTGCAACATATTTTTGGCATTTATAATTTTATAATAATATATTTGTTTTTGGTTCATAATTTGATTTAAAAATGTTTTCTAGAAGTAGAAGAGAGTCAAATCAGTTTTTAATCTAAACTTTTTTCCGCTGAAATTAGAGCAAACAATTAACAAATTAGTAATTATTAATTATATTAATTATATATTTACTAATTATAAATTATAAGCTATTTATTAATTATAAGCTTATTAATTATATATATTCGAAATTAATTTCTCATGTTAAGTTAATGGAGGTCCAAAGCTTCTGAGAAATTCAAGATATTTCTATTTGAAAATTGATATCCAACCCTTTATAGACCCTATAGACCAGAACAAAGTGGCTGAAGCCTGCATTAAAATCGCATTAAAAGCCCATCTAATCTCCCTCCCTTTCTTCTAGGTTACCCGTGGATATCCGAGGATGCGGTGGCGAGTGAAGCGGAGTCGAGGGCGCCGCGTTTGACGAGGCTATTCAGCGCAGATCGACATCGTTCGGCGCATTTGAGCGAATAAACGAAACCAACTTGGAGCGAGAAGCGTCGATAACCGAGTACAACGAGTGGCGGCATATCGTCTTCATGGACCTGACGGAGGCTTTCGCGCCGGGAGGCGGCGGCGAGGATCTGCCGAAGACGGACTTCTTCGATTTCGTGGTGTCGCCGCCGCCGCACTGCGCCTCGGCCGACGGGGTCGTTTCCGACGAAGAGAGCTTCCTGCATCGCAGCACCGGTGGCTGCCGCACCATGGGTGCTTACCTTCAGCAGACCCACGAGGATCACGAGGGCTCGCATGGCGGCTCGCCCTTCATCAAGGAAACCAACAACAACACGCTGACGGCGCTACCGCCTGTCTCGACCATCACCGGGTCGCTGAGCCATCATCAGCATCATCATCACGCGCATCATCACGTGCGTGCACAGCACGGAGGCGTTCAATCGGCTGGAGGCGAGACCACCGCCATGGATCAGTCAGAGTGCGATTACTGGGGCCAGGAAGATGATGGCAAGGAGCAAACGTGTAACATCCTATTGGAGGACCTCAACAAGTACTGCTGGTCCTCGAGCGCGCACACCAACGATGGAGTCATTCACTCGGCGACCAGTGGTCCCAACGATCATCATCAGGCCGTGGGTTCGGGTCGCGCGGGCTGCGCCGCAAACGACCGACAGAATACGGACGGTGCCATTTACACGCTGACGGTGCTGAATAACGAGGCAAACTCGATGGACGCATTGGACTGTTGCAAGAGCCCGGCGCCTGCGTCCGGGGATTCCTGGTCCCTTCGACCCAATCTTGACCTCGACGCTATTCTGAGCATGGAACCGTCTTCCGGCGAGCAGGACCACGAACAGCAGACCAGCGGCGATGTGTCCAGGAGTGTCAATGATAGGTTTCACGGGCCGGACGGCCGTGGCTTCACCGTGCCGCCATCGCAGTACGCCACGGATGACAGCGGCTTCGTTGAGAGCAAGGAGCTGTGTGCACGCGCGTCCTCGGCCAACTGTTCGGGCGACAACAACAACGATTGGAAGCTATCGGATCAGAATCTACAGGAGGTTGCGGCCGCGGCTGCTGCCGCAGTCGCCGTGGGAGCCGGGGACTCCGCCGAGAGTCTTCTGAGAAGTGCCCTTCAGGGCAAACTGTACACCGGGTCGGCCCAATCGGTCTCCTCGTCGTCGCCATCTTCGCAAACATCCGCTATATCGATGCCGGTCTCGGCAAACACGGCTCTCATGGTGTCCGATCAACAGCAACAGCAGCAGCAGCAGCAGCAGCAAGAGGATTCTATGCAGACGTGCACCGACGAGGACCTATTACTCTCGCAACTGGACCAGACAACCTACCGACCGGGTGACTATGAGAAGCTAAAGAGCATCGCGAACGAAGTGGTAGAGTCCTACTGCAGTCTCGAGCCGGTCTGCAACGTGTCCGCGACCACTACGGTGATGTATACGCTGGACCCAACGAGCGGGAGTCTGGGTACCATCACGTTACCGGCTGATCTTGGTCAGGTGAGCACCGTGACAGTGGTTACGGCCGCTCAACAAGACGTTCTACAGCAACAGCCCGCTCAACGAACTGACGTCGACCAGCAGCAACAGCAGCAGCAGCAGCAACAGCAATCGAATCAACTGCAGCTGCCTTCCGCCCGGGTGGGGGTCAAGCCACCCAAGAAATACGTTAGACGCGGCAATCGCAACAATTCCAACGGCGCCAGCAACGGCGGCGCCGGCTCGGATACCGGTAGCAACGCGACTCAGCAACAATCCGGCGGTTCCGGCGGCTCGCCCGGAAGCGTGCAGCGCAAGGAGCGTTCCCTGCACTACTGCGGCATCTGCAGCAAGGGCTTCAAGGACAAGTACAGCGTGAACGTGCATATCCGGACGCACACCGGCGAAAAGCCGTTCGCCTGCTCGCTCTGCGGCAAGAGCTTCCGCCAGAAGGCCCACCTGGCCAAGCACTATCAGACCCACGTGACCCAGAAGCCTGCCGGTATCCAGCAGGCCACTTCCGGGAGCGGCAGCAGCGGCGGCGGGAACAACGGTAACACTAGCCCGACGGCGGAGACCAACGTGACCCCCTCCCCCGCGGCCCCCGCTATCGCCAGCAGAACTCAGGTGACCGTGGATCCCACGGGAACCGGCTGCAGTCCCCCCAGTTAGTTCGCGAAACGCGAACGCGGTATGACGCGCGGGCGCACATCCGTCCGTGTTTTTTTCTTTTTTTTTTCTTTTCTTCAGAAAAGAGATGGCGACCGTGGCTGGCTTCTGCTTTCTCTTCTTTCGTTCCCAATTTTTTTTTTCTTTTTTTTTAATACGAATATAATTTCCATAATGGAAACACCAAGCCGAGCTTGCGAGAAAGAGCGAACCATGACGAGCGATTAGATGAGCGCATCGTGTGTGTATCGGGTGTTCGAAAACTAACTCACGTAATTCTTGAAGAATAATTTTCCCGAGAATTTTGTTTGATTTCACAAGGTTTCGATTTAATTTGAATTGGATCTGAGGTAATTAATCTAATTAAGTAAACTTGTTATTCGTAAAAATTAACGTTTCAAATTAAATTTATCTAATTACTTCAGTAATTATTTAATCCAATTTAAATTTAAATTATTTTTTACATCGACATTAATTTTATTCAGGTACTTGAACAGCTCGAATTCGCTTAATTATACTTCCTGTCAGATCAAATTCGAATCACAACGTTGAAGGAATCGATTGCGAATTATGTGAAAACGATAGAAATAATTTTCCGTGACATCCCGCATGGCAAGAAGCCAATGGAGTTTAATATGGCAAAACTGTGACAGCGTTATTAATTAAAAAGTTGATTATATGTAAGAACCCCGATCTTTGTTTGCGAGATTATCTATCCTAAAGGCGGCTCGCTGCCGAGTTTTTATATTAATTATTAATTAATTAATTATGGAGAGAGGGCTAATCGCACTCCCTTTAAATTAACATGACATCCGTGAAATTGTTGTTCCTACGATCATCCAATTACCCTTAATGACAATAATGACGAAGACAATGACAGGCGACGATGATGACGACGACAGCGCGACGAATGTTTATAGGCTACTTGACGATATTAATTATATTTAATAGCCACGAAATATTAATGTTAAAGATGATTTTTATAACATAAATCTTTTTACAATTATACAGGATGTTTTCAAAACCGTCGAGTCTGTTAATCGAAATTTCTACTATCGATGGGAAAGCGATCTTTTTTGAAAAATGAAAATATTTCTTATTATGAAAATATCCAAAATCATTTTGTTTATCGCGTCCTTCCAATTTTGAACACTTTATAATCAATTTTTATAAATTAAAATTTAATAAATTTATAAATTTAATATATTTTATAAATTTTATAAATTAAAATTTAATTTATAAATTTTGAAATTAAAATTTAATAATAACTTTAATAATTTAACGATAACTTTTATTTTAATTTTAAAATTTATAAATTAAAATAAAAGTTATCATTAAATTATTAAAGCTATTATTAAATTTTAATTTTAAAATTTATAAAATTTATAAAATATATCAAATATATTTAATTTATTAAATTTTAATTTTAAAATTTATAAATTAAAATAAAAAGAAGTAATTTGAAAGCAGCTGAAATTTTAGCTCGACATAATCGTTGGAGAGATTGATTTCAAATTGGTCAGAGAATCTGCAAAGAGATATCTTGGCGGTCTTGGAACGTTCCGTGTATGTAGAGAGTAGATTTAGGTAATAACTTAGAGCGAGATAAGTGAAGAGTATCGAGAGGAATACCCTTTAATAAGTAATTAGTAGCATGAGCTGTGATTTAGGTACGTACACAACGAGCAGTTTAGAGCGAAGCAAACGTAACGGGATACGTAAACGCTGTTTTCTCATACATTGGTAATTTTTTTAAAAATTCTCTCCCTCTCTCTCTTCTCTCGCGAAAGCGCAGCTAAAAAGGGGGGTCAACCGGAAAGGTTATTTTCGATCCTTTGATCGAATGCTTTCGAAAGTTACCGCAGGATTAAGAATCAGGCCGTAAGAATCGCATTCGTTTTTTCGACTTTTCTTGCCTGACTTTGCTTGCAGAAAATAACATTTATGAAACAAGTTTTCGTACTGATGAAAGAAATACTAACGTTAGCATAATATAACAATGTTACATCGCTGCATTACTTGTTATTATGTTTACATTGTTAAAACTTAATATTAAATTATTTTAGCATCCAATAAATATTAATACAGACCAATAATTATTACTAGATAGACTTATGCAAAACGAAAAATTAAAAGTCCTTGAAGCGGAAGAGTTGATATTTTCACAGATAATAGAACTGCCCTCCTGTGTTCATCATTGATTATACATCACGATATATTCACACTGCCGTCGTTACCGATGTCGAAGCTCGTCGAACTTTTGATAGAAGCGATCGATCGTTTAATTTATAAGCGCCATTTTGTCGGCGCGATTCTTTCGCCTACGAAAAAGCTGCGACAAAAGCGCGCAACGCGACTCGCGAGCGCGATAATCGGGACGAAGAGAGAGACGCGCGGCGAATTTTCGCACACCTTGTATACACGTGCTACATTTTCCGGGGCCCGCGACCCCGTAATAACACGCGGAGGTCAGAGTTTCCAAACGGGCTCGTTTCCTCGGGCTAACGCGAGCCTCGCCAGCCTGGTAATTACACGTTGCGTCGATATTGCGTTACGTGCATGCCCATCACACGCATACACGATGCACGACGTCGTGACGCAGGTGGCGATAAATTTTACCCCGAGGGATGAATTTATCCCGTCGGCGATTCGTTATCGGGATAATTAATTGCGCGGCCTTCACGCAAAAGTAAAGCGAAAGACTTTCGAAAGGTGCACTTAAACGAAATACGCGACGCGCTTTTAACTCTTATCAGAGCAGGTCACCTGATTTTTCAACTTTCCAAAACTTTTCTCCTCCGGTTATATAAAGATATTATAAGAAGTAGCATAGCCCATAAATTTAATCACTAATATTTTATAAATTAAATTATTATTACATTGCAGCAATATCGCGGCAATATTGCGACGAAACGATAAAATAGAAAAATTTATTTATTTTTTTTTTATGAGAGAAATTATTTGTTTAGTTTTCATGAAGTCTCTCTGTCTGGATAAGAGTTGAAAGCACTTGAGGATTATTGAAGTAAAAATTTGAGCGTGTTCGCTGGAAAATTCGAAAGATTTAGAAAGTTTCGTATGATTTCGCAGTCGGTCATCTCCCTCGTCCTCCGATTCCCGTTCTCAGTTTGCGTAATTAGTCACGTATGTGCAATACAATCGAGACTATTTTTCCGCCGCACTAAGGATGCTCAATCGGCGACACGAGCGGCAATTTAAGTTCGAAAACACATCGTCAGGTTTTTCAATTAGGTCGAGAAAAATTAATTAATTGAGAAAGATAATAACAAACGATATTTCTCAATTTTTTTTTAGTCGCTGCGCCGAGAAAAGAAGATTTTATTATTCTGTAATTTATTGAAAAAAAATGGAGAAACCGCAAAAGATTAACATATCTATATTTCTTCTTGCACGTTACTCTAATTAAAACAGACAGCAACACCAGATCATCGTAATTATACTAGAGTCTATAATTTTACGGTGTCGATCATATCTTCCCCCCTTTCGTACTTCATTATGCTAATTAAAAACAGGAAAAATTCATAAAAGAAATTAAAGAGATTGTAGATGTTTTTTTCCGTCCAGAAATTATAAATACTAAATTATACAGTTTTTTCATTGTTAATAATTCTACAATTCTTCGCTCTATATTATTTTCCAATTGCTGCACAAAATAAATTAAACAATAGAGAGCTAAAATTTTTTTCTTCTATAATTTTCTAACGATAAGTATAAAATTTAGAAACTTTTCCTTCTTTTCTGGAACGAGAGTAATTCTATGATTCGTTCTATACATTATTTTTAATTACTGGACAAGGTAAATTTCATCTCTAAGCGAGGGGGTTAATTAAAGAACAGACGAATCAGGCCGCAAGGTGTAGGGAAAGGGGGCCGACTCGCCTGGTTTATAGGGCACCTCGATATAAGGGCGTTATTATAGCAGCGGTGCCTCATCACATCAGTCTAGGGTACTTAAAGATCGCGATGATGAGAGCGACCTTATAAGGGGTGTTTAAAGTCACCGCCGTCGCGGCTTTCACCAATCTCGTCGAATCGGATTGCGATCCGCCCGGCTTCTAATCAGCCTTGCGGCGAATTGACCGCGCGATCGATCCCCCCAATCTCGCGATTGCGAAAGGAAAGCGGCATCGTCGTCTGAATCTTTGGTTCGCGGCGAGGATGCGACTTTCAATTTTCAGTACGTCGGCTTCAAGGGTTAATGAGATCCTTGAGTTTCCTCGACTTCTAAAATTAATAAAAATTAATTTTAAAAAAAATTAAAAATAAAAATAAAATTTCACGAATATTTCTTACATTTTTTTCATTTGCAATAAAAATTTATTTATATATATATATATTCATAAATTTTTTTGCTCGAAAATATGTCTTTTAAAGTTTTCGGATTTGTAAATTTGGATTTGGAGAAGAAATATTTTTCGTCAAAGAAGGAAGAATTAAAGAAAAGCGAAAAAAACATTTGAAGAAAAATACTGCATATATTTATATTACATTTTTCTTTATATGTCTTTGATGTTCTTCAATTCCTTCTTTGATGAAAAATATTACTTATTTTTCTATTTGTAAATCTAAAAAATTAAGAGTACTTTTGAGTTAAAAAATTCATGAATATGAGACTTCTAAGACCACAGGAAACTCGAGAATCTCAAAAAATTTTCAAATTTAAAATTACAATTCCAATATTTATTTAATGAAGAACAGAATGCTTGGTGCAGTAATAATTACATATATATAATTACTACTCTAAATATTCTAATATCCCATTATATTTTTTAATTGAAAAAAATAGAATATTTGATAGGAAGATATAATAGAGATAATAAAACAATAAAAATACAATAGAACATATAATATAGAATTTTGAACAATTATAATATTATTATAATTTAATATATTTAATAATTTAATAATTTAATAATATTTAATAATTATTTAATATTCTATTTATAATATTAAAATAGATATTGGGATTATGGTTTTAAATCTGAAATTTTTTTCGCCGTTGAAATTTGAAGACACGGTAATTTTTGCTGTTAGTCTAGACGACTCCTTAAGAGTTGCGCATAAGCTTGTTAACCTTCTGAAGGTAGGATGGAGAGGTGTGGCCCCGTCTTACAACAATGATCTCCATAGATGGAAGATTGCGCGAAAAGAGCAACGCAAAGGTCGCCATGAACGAATCGCGTGTCGTAAACGCAGAGGAAAACGAGTTGTCGGATTAGAAAAAATCATAATCCTCCGAAATAAATAATCCTCCCACTTTGAAAATTCATTGAGATATTTTATTTCGGAGGAAGATATAACAATGATCTTTGAATTATTTAAATGCGAAAAAAGAAATTCCTTATCTCGTAAAATAATTTTACTGCTTTATTTCACAAAAAAAAAATTCCTCTCCAGGAATAACGATGATCTGAAATTATTCTTGAATTTTTTTTTATATTAAAATTCACTAAATTTGATCACAAAATTAATAGCCCGCTGATATTATTCGGCTGCGAGAAAAATCTTTTGTTATATTTGAATTTATTATTATATATGTGAAAGGAAAAATTGCTTTTATACTAAAATTGAAACATCATTTATTTCCTGACGATGTGTCGAGATGTCCGCTTCTTCGATCATATCACATAAAAGAATACTCATCGGATCCTCGAGACATCGAGATCCTCGGATCCTTAATAATCGAGAACCACAAGATTGCGCCGAGATCTTTTCCTGCGCATTCAAGACGCACTCGTAAATTCTTAATATTATTTTCTTCTCAACCTATACTTTGCCTAGCATGTACGTACGTAAAGCTAATCCTAGAAGTAAAAAAAACGTGGCAGCTGTCTAAGCCTGTTAAAAGGATACGAATCCGAATCCCGAGGTTACCATGGTAACAAGAATGTAAATGTAGGATTTCTCTTCTTTCTTTCTTTTTTTTTCCTTCTCTTAAACAATGCGATGCAATAATACTCAAAGCGGTCGAGGGCCGCGCGAAGAAAGATATAGATTATTTCCACGCATTTATAGCCTAGATGTGGCTGTTCGATCTTTATCCCGATCAAGTAAATCAAAGTTAGAATCGAACAGTTCCGTTTAGCTCTAGACGCGTGCGAGGAATGCAAACCTTTGTATTCCCAGAGAAAAGTTGATAAGATATATTATATGTTATACGGGGTGATCAATATACACTAGTGAAAAATATTTCACATATAAATTCTTCCAACATTTTTCCAAATATTAATTTTCAATCAAATCACTTTCTCGATAAAATAAAATAAATGTCTAATATAAAGTGTATTATTAGATAATAATATTATATTAAAATTGCGCATGTAAGTATATAATTATACAAATTACATTTTAAATGTGTTATAAAATATTAAAATGTTTGCTGAGGAAAATCAGCTTGGGGGACTCAAAGGACCTATAGCTGAGATATTTTTCCTGAGGTATTGAGCGAACACCCCGTATATAAAATGCGCGTCGGCCTACCCAGTACAAAAAGCAGATCGTTATAATGATATTTTATTATATCACGGATATTGTGTTATGTGAATAATTACATTTTATGTTGTTAATGAAGTCGTAATATATATATATATATAAATATAAATATAATTCATGTTTCTATATACGTACAGATATACGCAAATATATATGATTTTATATATTATATATATGTACATGTATATGTATTAGCAACGTACTTATACGTTAACAACGTTATGTCGATGTCGACAAGTTGTGTATCGCTCTCTCCTTCCCTAATTTTTTTTTTTTATAGAGCGGATATAAGAGCCGTTTGTGTTTTAAAACTCTGCGAGGTTCCCTCTCCCCCTCCTCTTCCAAGTTTTATATGCTCTAATAATAAATTGTTCAAGTTTCTCTTTTAATTTCAGCAATTGAGAAGATCGTCGAGCGATCTACGATATCATTTTAATTGAAAATAAATTGCTGAGTGCAATATGCGTGTAATATATCGAATTTTTTTTCGACTAACTTATCGTCAACGAGATTATTTAATTATGTAGATTTATATGTGTGTGTTAGATAAAATGCGAAAAAGTTTAATGGAACTTTTGTTCGAACTCGCCGGAGATTTTACGAATGTAAGATGACATATTCGTAATTATGAGATGCTGCGTACAATCGTGCTTTCGCTCGTTTTTTTTTTCGGATTCTTCGAATTTATTGATTATAAATAAATTAATTAATTAATGTTGACTCGACTTTCAGATATGATGTCTTTTATGATAAGTTTTGTTCACTTACTGTTTGAGAGAAATGGCAAAAATATCGGAACAACTTTATGTGAGAGAAAGGAAAATACTCTATATGATTTGTCGGCTTTTTAGGATACTCTTCGCTGTTGCTCACGAGTGTATAATGATTGAAATAACTTTGATTAGCGGACCAACCGGCATAGCAATTTAGAGATTTAAACGAGACGACGAAGAAATGTACCTATTATTTTTGTACTTAGTTTTAATAAAGGTTTATATGCTTTTTTATAAAAAAAAGAGAGACATTTAAGATTCCTAAAATACTTAATCAATTACATCCGTAATTGTTTTGATTTTCAATTGAATTAAGACATGAAATTTTTATCTATTGAAGAATACTATTAAATATTTTTGATCGGTATCTTTTGTTATTGAATTATACCTTATTATTGAATCTTTGTTATTAAAAAGAGATGATTAATTAAATTTTTAGAATAATTATTAAATATATTATATATAATTAAAATGTAAAAATATTTTAATTGAAAAATGTGTCGTTTGTGCGATTATTGTACATATTTGGAAGCTATCTTATATTTTTCTATTAAAAATATTCATAAATACATAACTAAATAATGAATTAAGTACATTAAACAGGAAACTATCGAATGTAAAATCTAAATTTTTAAAAATGAACTGTCTCAATTTTTTTTAGAATTCGTCACGTACTTTTGGAACACCCTATATTTTTTTACTGATATAATTCAATACACAATAGATAACATTATATAATTTTCATTCTAAGTTGAAGGCTGCGATTTTATTGCTACATCCTTCAAACAATGAACGATCTCATCAATAATAAAGTATAATAACGTAAATAAATGTACTCACTCAACTGTACCGACTACGTCAACAGGATTTCCTAGATTCCTTGTGCCGATTCCTTTCGCGCCGCTTCCTCCTCCGAGGATGATCTCCGCTGGAGTCTGATCGGAAAAAGTGTGCTCGTCATAGCAATCGAAGAATCAACAAGATTTCCTGGATTCCTTAGACTTCTGCGCCGCTTTCTTTCTCGAGGACGCTTCTCGCTGCAAGATTGAAGAAATACAGATGAAATATAATAATATAATAATATAAAAATATAATAACATATAAATATAATATATAATAATATCGTTGAGCGTGAAGTGAATAATATGATATAATACGATATAATATAATATCATATATGATATAATATCAACCGAGACTGCTTTTAAGTTTAATTTTAATTACTTACATTCTTTCTTCATTATTTACAACTATTAATATAAATAAATGACGACTGCGAAATAAACGACGACTGTGATTTCGGAGCGATGTATCTTGGCGCCAACGTTAGACGGATTGTCAGCCACCATCTGGTGGCGTTAAATTCAAGACACGCAAACTCGATCGATAATATCGTGTCGGTGATAATTATTAACATTAATAATTATTAAAAAATTATTCATATTTAAATTATTATTATTATTATTTTATTATTTTATTTATTATTATTATTATTATTTTATTATTATTATAATTTTAGAAATAACATATTGAATTTATAATATTAAAAATAATATTGAATTGTAAAACTAAAATTCCAAATTAATTTATTGTTCAATTTTCAATATATCGATTTATTCCAAGTTGAAGGCTGCGATTTTATTGCTACATCCTTCGAACAATGAACGATCTCATCAATAATAAAGTATGATAACATAAATAAATGTACTCACCCAACTGTGCCGGCTACATCAACAGGATTTCCTGGATTCCTTGGGCCTATTCCTTTCGTGCTTTTTCCTCCGAGGATCTTCGCTGGAGTTTGATCTGATAAAAGGAATTCGATCACGTTCGTACAAGTCAATTAGAATATAATAGTAAATAAATGTGCTTACCATAGCAACAGAACAATCAACAGGATTGCTCGGATTCTTTGGATTTTTGCATCGCTTTTTTCCTCGAAGGCGATGCTCATCCCTAGAAGCAAAGATCGAATTTTATTTCACACCCAACGATACAATATCATCCGAGACTGTTTATGTTTAATTTTAATTATTTACACTCTTTCTTCGATATTATTTACAACTATAATTATAAATAAATGACGACCGCAAACGACGACCGTGATTTCAGGCCTTGGCGCCAACGTAAGCCGCCATCTGGTGGCGTTAAATTCAAGACACGCAGACTCGGTCGGTAACATTAGGTCGGTGATAATTGTTAACATTAATAATTATTTAAAAAATTATTATTAATATCTAATTTATAATTTTTAATATTTGAAATTATATGTAATCGTGCAAAACTAAAATTTCAAATTAACTTATCTTTTAATTTTATTTTTTTAATTAACTTATTTTTTAATTTTATATTTTTCAATTTTTTAATTTTATTTTTTAAAATTTTATTTTTCAAATTAACTTATTTTTAAATTTTATTTTTCAATATCTCGATTTTAACATACTAATTCTATTGTATAATATCTAAAATATTCAACCAAAAACTGCGTAATCTTTCTCGTTCTTTAACATGTAAAATATTTGAAGAGATATATCATAATGTATATTTAATTTCGTTAAATGCTAAAATATAAATAATATAAGGAGCGTAAAAGAAAGGAAAAAGGACTATGATGTACCTCTTTTAGTCTGCAGGAGACATGTGACTTTTTTTGACGTTTCGTAAAATAATTTATTTATGAACAAGAAGATATTATGCAGCAAATATTATCGACGAATCATGGCAATTATCCTTGATAATAATTAGTTATTATATCGCATGAACATGTATACAATATTCGGTTCTTTTGCAAAAATTTGCCTCTTTTAACATTAACAAAAACGCACCGTGCGTCGTCGATAATACTTTTATTAAGCTAAAATACAAAATACCTCTCAAATTTCGTGCTAATTTAATAAGATTATCCGCATACCTAAAACATATTCATCTAAGATTGAAAATCGCGAGGAACTCTTTCAATTATCTTCTTTAAACAAGGAAATTTCATAATTTTTTAACTGAAATCTGTTTCATGTCTTGATATGTTCTCATCTTGTACAATTTGTCTACGTTACAGAAGCATAATAAATTATTTACAGAAAATTATTTTATATTATTACAATTTTACTTGATTTGTTACCTATATAGATTCTATTTTCGTTTGAAATTTATACAATCTTTTTCATCAATAAATAATTTTTTATTCGAGATAATTTCCCTATCATCTTCTATTCAATTGTTATTTTAATTAAATAATAATAAGATAAAAAAAGGAAAGATTTATTAATGTTCCTCGAGATTCTGATTAGATTTGTCTTGCGACATACTTGTTCGCGCTAATCAGGTTTGCGTACATAAGTAAGAAGTTTAGTATACACGGTGTAAAGTATTGTCAACGGACGGGTTATTTACCATAAATCGTTGAAAATATTTTCTTTTGGCAGCTCTGTTCAGATTGATTCAGGACATCGATAATATGTGATAAATGCCACAAATTACAAATATATGCAAAAATAAGTGCGAAATTTAACATGTAAATTATATATATTTTACATATTTATATTTTATATAATTTAAATTTTATATAAAGTTGTAAGTAGTGCAGCAGTGATAATGATCGAAAAACTATTGTAAATATTTTGCAAAATTTTCCTATTAATTTTCCTATTAATATTTAATATTATATATATACTTCATAATTTAAAATTATATTTTATCGCGATGCATATATATAAATAATCAGCTCCAATTCAAACATCAATTATGTTTTATTATATTTATAAATCAAAATTAATTATCAAAAGAAATTCAACAGTCATATATTTATATTTAATAAATTGTCTTCAATATCGATTTTTTTTAGTATAGGTATAAAAATCGCGTTTTTCGCTATGTCTAAGGATGTCCTGAATATAGTCTAGAAAAAGGCGATCCTGCGAAGGGAAAGGCGTGGAAAGGGCGTGCGAGAAAAATATATATTTTTTTATTAGATAGAGTAGGATAATACTTGGACGATTGTATCCGAAGTCTCGATTCAGCAAAGTATCGACCGACTCATTCAATTCGTGCACGGATACATCGTCGTTTGGCCCTCTATAGCGATTGCAGTAGACGAATGCAATAGTGATATAGCGCGTTATCAGCACTTTACATCGCGCGGAGGAGACGCACGGATTTCGCGCAACTTTGGGCTCTAAGAGAGCAACTTGTCCTCAGGAATGGTCGGGCTGGTGACCGACGGAGCCGCAGATGCACGCCTCATTGCTTCGGATTCTCGAAGAGCCTCGTCAAAGCTCTGCGTCGAATTGGATCTCGAAGGCACAACTTTTGTCTGCAAAGAGGAGAAAAGATTTAAATCTCTGAATAAAAACTCGATAAAATGAAGTTTGTGAACTAATAGAAAATGCAAAAATCTAAAGTATCTAATAATATAAAATAATTTAAATGATTTAAAAATTTAATATAATAAATTATATATAAATTATATAATATGATTATAATAAATTATGTTATAATTATAATAAATTACATATAAGTTATATATTAATAAATCTTAAATTAACTTATTGTATAGATATTAAAATTAATTCTTTTTATTATTATAATTTATATTTTTTATTTAATAATGTAGAAAAATTAATTTGAAGGAAGACTATAAATATCAAAGAACACCTCATTTAGTATTTAATAATTTAATTATAAACCATTTTCAAAAATTTAATTATAAACTATTTTTAATTAAAAAATTAAATTAAACTATTTAAATTAAAATTTAATTAAACTATTTAATTAAAAAAATTAATTTTATACAATTTATTCAATAAATTTAATTTAATTTTAGTACCTTAATATTCTCACAAGCGGATCCAACTCTTTCCTCCAAGGACCGGAAGCTGTCGGAGTTGCGCATCTGGCCCAATTTCATGGAAATACCGCTACCAAATCCACCCAGGATACTTGTTGTCTTTTCAGCCGTGGATTTAAGTACAGATTCTGTTTTTTGGTATCTGATATGACAAAAAGAAGAGAAAGTTCGTCAGTAAAAATAATAATATCTTTGCAGATCATTTTCTATAAAAATTATGTTAATTAATTTTCAATCGGCGTTATATAATACAAAGCTCTTGAATATGAGATAAAGTTAATGTTTTTGTTAAATTTGTTTACTTCTTATTTCAAGCAAATTCCGTAGCAATGTTTTATATTACACTAGCGATACTCGTCGATACTTTAAATTATCAAAATTAAAATATCGACAAAAGCACAAAATGTCTCTAAAATAGCCAAACATTGACAATGTGTTTTATTCACTTGAAGCATGAATTTTAAAAGCATTCCATGTATAAATATCTACTACTAACACGCAGAATATCCATAAAAAATTTTCATCATAACCAGGGAAAAACAAAACCGATTTGTGTACTTACAAATTATTCCCGGAGACTGTCCTGGTTAAACGACCGAGTGTTTCGCCGACATTCTGATAACTGGATGAAAAACCCAACCGAAAGAAATTTAAAATAAAAGTCAATGCTTCTACGTGTGTTTGAAGAATAGGAGTATCAGTAAAAGATGATCGTCACCGTTGGTTCGCAAAAATGGAAACAAAGAGGCGAAAGATAAAAAAAAGATGAATACAAAGATAAAAATCAGAAAAGGAAAAGGAAATCGAGAAACATGCTTCGTGCATTTCTTGAAAATCGTCGGTGAAATATTTCATGCAACAAATTCGAAAATTTATTCCTGAACAAAATTAACGCATATTTTTGTTCACTTTTTCTTTAAAATTTTTCGTTAAAATTTAAATATCAGCTTTTAAAGAAAAAGTGTTATGAAAAAAAATTATGCGTTAATTTTGTCCAGGAGTATATTTCGCAAATATTTTGCAATCCTTAATCGTTTCACGGTTTTTCCCATCCACTTCTACTTTACATAGAAAATATGATAAAATGCAGATGAATGGATAGATAAGAGAGATAGCAGATGAATGTACAGATAAGAGAGATGCAAAAGAAGCCAATAACTAATAGCACACGTACACGTTGCTCTCCTTGACGTTCTTGAGTCCTTGATTGACATCGTCGGTGAGCTCCTTCCAGACACTGATACCCAGTTTTCTCTTCAGATCCTGCGAAACCTTGATCTTGTTGGCGAGGACATGTCTCAGAGTCTGTATCTCTTCCTCAACCTGAAATCGAATATCGTTATTCGTCGTTATTGGAATTTTTCAGTTCCCCGAGACTTACTTTTGCTAATTGAGCGCTCCATTCTGCCTTTTGTTGTTCTTGCTCTTCTAAGGAGAGTCCTTGAAGTTCGTTTGCTATATTATCTGATGAGGGCGACAAAGATCCGGCCGAGTGAAGCGAGGCGTCTTCTCCTGGAACAAAAGACAACAAGAATAGAGAACATTAATTCTCCACAAGTTATATGATACTATGGTAGTCATACTGCTAGAAGTATCATTTTTCTCTTACTAACAAATTGTATATAATTGTATATGAAATAGATAATTTATTATGCGTTTAAATAAATAAATAAATAAATAAATAAATAAATAAATAAATAAATAAATAAATAAATAAATAAATAAATAAATATATATATATATATATATATATATATATATATAATAAAAATTACATTACTTTTGTATAACAAATAATAAAAAAATCTAATAAAAATTATAATTACAATTAAAATATTAAAAATGAAAGACATTAGGATAGAACATCAGAATATAAAATTAAAATAAAAAATTAAAATGAATAATTGAATAAAATAAAATATAAATTATTATCTACAGAAAATATAGAAAATCTTATGCTATAAAATTTATTGGTATTTAAATTAAATCTATCTAATTCATCAGCATTAAATTTAATTATCTCATTGGTTTAGATTATAACAAATGCTAAAGTTGTTGAACAAGTAAAATCAATTATAAATACATGTCAAAAAAAATCGAACAACTTCATGGGATTTGTATAAGTGAGTGTCTTAAGACATTTATAGAATATTGCAGATTATGTCTTCAATCTTATTTTTCTCTTCTTACAATGCACTTTTTAAGTTAAAAAAATTATTATAATTATATTTAATTGGATTAAATTAAATTGAATTAAATTAAATTGGAAAAAGTATTTTTTACTAAAAATATATATAAAAAAATATAAAAATATATAATGCACTTTTGAAATTAAAAAATTATTATAATTAAATTTAAATTGGAAAAGTATTTTTTAATAAAAATATATATAATAATTGTTTTAATATTTCAAGTTTTCTTTTTCCCTCCGTCTCAATTGAATAGATAATTGTATTAAATGTATTAGATAATTGTATTAGCTTTAATTTAATGTTTATTATTCTAGATGATTTCTTTTATATAGTGTATATGTTCAAATAAAACGGATAAAATGTATTTAATTGTTACCGTATTTATGACTGCATATAATGCGAATAAAAATAAGGAGCGATTGCTTAAATTCCGAATGAACGCAATTGTGTTTCGCCAGATTCCAAAGGAAGGAATGTGCAGAGTTTCACAGTTTCAGCAAAGCGAAACATCGTCCTAGAAAAATTAAAATCATACTTCCACTTTACTCGATCGCGATTCTAGTGAGTTTTTGTTTCCGTTTATACTTTCACATATAAGAGAAAAGATTAATCGACATCGAAAAGCTGCTCGACATTCCTCACACATAATTAGAAGATTATACCAGAAATTAAATTTCGCAAATTTAAAAATCCATAAATTAAAAAAATCCATAGAATCCATAGATTCAGAAATCTAGAACAATAAAAGCCAAAAATTAATGCAATTAAATAATCAAAGATTTTTAAGGCTTGCCATTCTTTTATGATTTATATTTTATTTTCTGTTAACAGTTACTGAGAGAAGATAGCCTGAGATGTTTAATCTATGTAATGTTTGAAAAATTTGAATTTTTTAATTTGCGTCACATTAACTCAGTATATTTATCCTTTTTAGTTTAAGCGTGTTTCATATTATTTATTTAATCCTTATATATTTATTTTTATTATTTCAAAAATTATTTTTAAAATCGTTAAAAAACATTTTCTGATATAAAATATTATTATAAATTATGTAATATTCATTTACACAATTCTGATAAATTAAAATTAAAATCACTGAAGAACAGTTCTTTCTTATTAGTATCTTCACCCTTAAATCCTAATTCATCGAAATTCTTCTACATTTAATTGCTAATAATTTTACAATAATATTTTTTGGATATATTATACAATTTTATTGAGGGATTTAAGTATAATAAGCTAGTATTCTATTATTTATCTTGACTCTTTAATCTCGACTCGTCGAAATTCATTTGCTTTTAATAAATATTCAATTCACATATAAAATATTTATATTAATTAATTCATTTTAATTAATTAATTCAATCTAATTCATTTTATAATTCATAAATAAAATATTTATTTAAAAATTCAAATATTCAAGAATTAATTCTATACAATTCGAATTAGATTAACTCTAGTAATCAAAGCTTTCTCGAGACGTCCTATAAAATTATCGAGAATCGCCCTAATTTTCGCCCAGAATTTTAGCGAAAAGTATAATCCCTCATAGTTATCGAAAGTTACGAGCGTAAAAATGGCGAAGCGATCTCTCCTTTCTTGTGGCACCTTTTACCAGCTCGAGGAACCTCTTGTAGTTCTGGCTGCTGCTGATCCTAGCGAGATAGGGTTTAGAGAGATCCTGGAAGATCACGCGAATCGATCGCTTCTTCTTCCTGCGACCATCATCTGGTCCTTCTTCCGGCAGGAACTGGGTCTCCACGGACAGGTTGCCATCGTCGACGACAATCTCGTCGATCTCGCCATTGGAGTCGCGCCAGCAGTGAACCACCAGCTCGTCCACATCCTCGTCATCGAGCTCGTCGATGTCGTCGAAGCTCGGTGTCGTCGTCAGCTTCGAGTAGTACACGTCTTCCTCATATTCCAACGATTCGAACTCACGCTCGTTCTCACTTGGACAGTCCTCCTCCCCGTGTTCCTGACAAAGCTTTCCGCAAGCTTGATTGTTTTTCAGATCTACAGATGACTTAGGGTTCGCCATTGTTGATTCTCATGGTTCTTCTTCGAAAGATATTCCTCCTGACGTGAAAGCTTATCCCGAAGTTCCGCTCTAAAATCTTGATCGCGAAGATGATGAGATAGAAAGCTTCGAAATCAACAGGTGATAACTGATGAATTTATCTATAGATCTATAGATGAAGATAACAATGTTGCTTCTCATTATTTTTTTTTAAATAATTCAAAAAACATATTGAAGGCTTCTGACGAAGTAATCACTGACCAGTCTAGGAACTATTATACGCTTTGCATTTTTTTTTAACACCTCTAGCAAGTCAAGTTGCTCCAAGTCTTGCTTCAAAGTTCTCTGAAATTTTATTCCATTATCTCTTTTAATTGCTAGAAGTACATCTTATAAATAGAAAATTGACTATTTTAATTTCGCATATTGTGCACTTAATCATAACGAGATTGTATCACTCTCGAGGATTCAGAATTCACTAGGGTTCGAGGATTAAGAGAAATCTCGCCGGAGAAATCTGTGGACTAGAAGATTAATTCAGCGATTAATTTAGCACAATTGAACGCTCACGTTTCGCCAAATTATACACGAAATTTACAAGCAACAACCTGAGGATTCGCGCGATTCTTTTCGAATGGAATCGATTCCCAGGTCTACATCGAGATTTAAGAATCGCGGACGGTCCGCAAAAAGCGACCACGTGTATCAATGTGCGCACTCACGACTAACAGCTGTGCTGTCGAACAACAACGTTTCGGAGAAATCAAGACGCGGTTCTCTCACTCTACTTTAATGGAAAATGTAATAGAAGGGGAGAGGAAGAGGAGAAAGAAGGGGAAAAGAACAAGTGGCCTCGGTTCTCCACAAGAAAGAAAGGCCCCAGTAGCGGCTTCTAAAGTGTCCCATAAGTCCCATCATTATCGTAAACATAAAAATATTTTATTTCATTATCTTATTATTATTATTATTATTATTTTATTATTATATTTATATTATTATTTATATATTATTTATTAATAATTTATATTTATATTTATTAATATAATTGTATTATTTCTATTAGTATTATTATTATTATTTATTTATATTGTTATATTTATATATTATTTTTTATATATTATTTATATATTATTTATATATTTTTAAATTTATTTATTATTTATATTTTTATATTTATATATTATTTTTATATATTATTTTATATATTATTTTATATATTATTTATATATTTATATTTTTATTATTATTATTATTATTATTTATTTTTGTGTTCGACTTTAATTAAAATGGATTCTTTTTGTAGGAAGTTCGTATGCAGTTGTGGTCAGTGGATTTTTCTTTAAAAGTTAACACACTCTAATTAAGAGAACATCGCTAATTTCTACTAACGTTCGACCGTTCCACCAGAATTATTCCAATACTTGCTACTTGTTTAATTTAATCTGCTCACTGTATGAATTTTTTCATTTGTTTCAATTATGACAGAATAGAATAAATAAAATAGGACTGGTGATTTACTTCAAAGGCTTCGATACTTGAATTTCGAATAATTTCGGTATTAAAATCATTAAAGATCAATGTTTCAAAATTTCGAAAGTTATATTACGTTATATGCTGATAGATACACTTATAAAATCATATGATAAAATCTGAATAAAACTTCTAATATTGCAATTATGTTACTAAATTGAAAAATATATTTAAAAATTTTTATTATTTTTAATAATTTTTTGAATATATGTTAATTAATTCACTTCTGTTTACAATATTTTCAACATTTTTCACATAAATTTGCAGAAATATATATATATATTTTAATTTCTTGAATATATGTGTTAATTAATTCATTCCTATTTACAATATTTTCAGCACTTCTTACATAAAAAAAATTTGCAGAAATATATTTTTCAAAGTTAACTTGAAATTTCAAAACTTCAAAGATACCTCAAACTTTGAAAATAGAAGTAAACCAAAAGGAAAGAGAAAAACTAGGCGCGATCCAGCATCTTTTTATTGATTTCATAAATGAATCTCAGCAAAGAGTTTGCCTCTTTTTGCGATCGATTCCGGAAGCGCGGAAGAGCGTGACACAAAGACGTTATAATATAACAAAAGTTTCTAAAACTCTTCGCGGGGAACCTTGAGAGCAAACCGGTTTATCGATTCAACTCGACGGTGGATTCTTGTTCATGCTTAGTGACGTGTGTTTAGCACTAAAGGCGATCGCATTATTTTCATCGACGAACCTTTTCAAGGGTTAATACATTCTTCTCAGAGGAAAATAACATTCAAATAACATTCAAATAATAAGATTAGGGAAGAGAAGTCCTTTTAATGTGTTTACGATAAATTGGAACAAGTGAGGAAACGAGACAAAAACACGAAGATTAAAATCTTGATAAATTGATTTATAAACACAACGCATACAGAATTGAAAAAAATAATAAAATATAATTTAGCAAATAATCCCTTTAATATCTTTAATTAAAATAATCCTTTAATATCTTTAATTAAAATAGTCCTTTAATATCTTTAATTAAAATAGTCCTATTTAATACATGTTTAATTTTTTAAATATTTAATATATATTTTTTTAATTATTTATCTTGATTTTTCAAATAATTACTTTCTTATCAAATTATTTTCTTCTCACACTTTCTTATCAACTTATTTCCTCATCTTTTTATTTTTAATATCTCTTTTCTTTGTATATAAATTATTTAAAATTATATACTAAATATTAAAAATAAGTAATTAATAGAATATTAAAATATTCCGTTTAAAATATGAAAAAAAATATTTTAAAAAATTAATTATAAATTAAATTAAATTAATTAAATTAAGTTAATTTAATATAATTGAATTTAATATTTAAGAGCATATTCAGAAAAATGATGAAACATAACATGTTACAGATAAAGCGTGTGTTAAAAGATAAAGCAATGTATTGCGATTAAATTCTTTCCAAAGAAATCGATTAATAAGAGAGTGCAAGAAATTGACCTTAATCAGTCCAGCTGTACCCGCATCGCAATTGCAATGTATCCGTGTCGATTGCATTATTTATACTTCATTTCTCCTTTTTAGGATAAACGAGCATTTATGTAAAATACCGTTATAGTAATTTTGCACACAATTAATAATATTTTATATAAATTGCCATTAATATATACGTTTATATAATCCTTTGGTATTTAAAAATTAGGGTCGATATTCATAGTTCGTTTTCAGATTTAAAAGACCATCTTGAGATACAATCTTAAGATATTATAAACCAATCAGAATCATTAGCATCTTAAGACATCTTATTTAAAACAAAATAAGAACGAAATATGAATATTAACCATTGTAACATTGCAGCAATATTGCGGCAATATTACAATGTTGCTGCAATATTGCTGTAATGTTACAACAATGTTCTGTGCTGTATGGGAAATGTTATTATCACTAAACTAATTAAATCGATAATAATAATAATAAAATAAATAATAAATAAATAATAAATATATAATAAAATGTATAAATAATAAATAAATAATAAAATAAAAATAATAAAATAATTAATTCGATAATTGATAAAACTTTTGGTCTCAAGACAACGAGCACGAAATGAAAAAATTGTGGAATATGAAGCGTGATCTGAACTCGAAATCTGTGCACGGAAATGATTTGCGCAGGAATCGCCGGTTACCCACACACACATACATGACATAACACACACATATGACGTACGGAAGTTCACAAGGTCGTCGTCGTCTAGAAACGTCAAATAGCGAATATATAATTATAGGTTAGAGTTGAATCGCGCGAGACAAAACATTATAGCCTTTCGAGCTTTTTTCTTGGTTAATCATCGTTATTTTCGACGACGATCCACCTTATTTCGTCGCAAACGATACGCATGAATAAACTTGTCAATCGAGAATCGAAGCGGATAGCGATGTCGATGATCTCACCTGTTGGTACATTGCTCATCTTGATGATCTCGTGACGTGGAATTGGGGCGAAACCGAACGATCTTGATCGATTATGTGGAAAATATTGGTGCGAGCTCACGAACAGGAGGAGAGGTCGAATCGGTTCACCAGGAGACGAGAGATAATGCGTGTTCTCCGATACCGAGCGGAGATCGATCCCCTCGACTATGGACATGGACTAACGGACAGATGACAGATCGGACACTGACCTCGTCGGAAATGTGGCCGCGGCTGTCGCCACCTGGCGGGCGCCAGATGAAGCTTTACGGTTGGGCGACCGCGCGAGAGAGACAGCAGATTTAAAACGCTTCATGAAATCCTACCTTTATTCGCTTACAAGGGGAGGTTGACTCATCACCGATTTTAATCTCCTTTGGTGTGGTGAATCTATGTCGAAAAAAAGTTGATCCGTGTTCGAGCTTTTCGTCCAATGCGCCTTGTAAACAAAATTTTTTTTTTCTCGAAGTTCAGAGAAATTGCCAGATTCGTTATTCGGCCTAAAGAAAGACATACTTTCGATCAGTGTTCGCTAATCCAGTGGCAGAACGCAAGTCTAGTAATCCCAGGATCCCAGGTTCAAGACTTTGGGCTGTCATAATTAAAAAAATTTTTTTTTAATTTTATTTATATATGTGTATATAACATGTATTATTTATTATGTTAAATAAATATTCGGCATACTAATAATATTAGAATACACACTTTTCATATTTTAACATCTCTTTTAAATTTTTTATTATGTTAATAATGTATGTCAATATATGTATATTAGTACTGCATTAATTATTATTTGCTAATACACATAAATTAATATATGTATATTAATGTGTAATATATATGTGATTTAATAGTGGATAATATTACAGTATAGATTATAATTTTAATATAATGTAAAATAATTACGAATGTTGTACATAATAAAATATTATATGTTTAATTAATATTATAAATATTATATATATAATTAATATTTAAATATATTTGTATATAAATATTAACAAATTAACAAACAGTTATATTAACATATGTTATTAATATTTTAAATTCTATAAAAAGTATTCTTTACGAATGTGTTTTATTAATGTACTATTAATATTTTTAATTTAATAATAAATGATATGGCATAATTCTTGGAGCACACTATCTCTATAATATTTTTATTCCACATTATATAAAAATCTTTCTTAATTTTAATTTAAAAATCTGCTTCGTTATGAGAAAAACGATTATTGATTTGATCAATTTCAAAAATTTCCCATTGTTTTATTCAAATATCCACCATATAAATTTGAAAGATTGAACAAAAACCTAAAAAATAATAGTTATTTATTATATTTTCTTACATACAATACTGTAATATTATATTCTAATGTTAATAAGTTAGGTTTTTTCATTAACTTACTTAAAGACAATTTACCGATACAAACACGTAATAATATAGTTAATAAAATTTTATTTGAATGTATATTGTAAATTATAAAAATTATCAAGATTTTGGTAAAGGAATATACTATTTTTAAATAGTATAAAACAATTTAAGTATATATATTTAGAAATATTTTTGCATTCTACATAACGGTCTCTTTTGCTTTCGACCAACGCGAAATAAACAGTTTTGCCATCTTATGGCGCTCGATCGCTAGTACGAATTTGGAGTGAAGAACGGCACCGTGTTTTGCTATTACATACCGTTTCTCGATCTGTTAACGACCTCAGAAGTTGTGTGTTTACATATGACATACACATTTATTGTAATATCGCCAAGTGTTATTAGTCTTCGGAAGTTTCTCGAAATAATAAGAAATTATAAGTGGGCATATATATTTTTCATGTTACAATGATAGTGGATAAAACATTAATTTTTTGCAGCTAATTATTGTAACGAAACATAATACACTTGCATACAATTTGTAGTATATCTCATTATACAGAGTAAGTCATTCAAAATTAAGTTTATTTTTATATATTTATCTTAATTCCTTCTTTTTTCCATTAAATCATGGTAGAGACAGTGCTGTGTTTAGTTTGTCAGTTTGTACTTTCTAACAAAAATATATTTTTACAGATATCTAAGATAAAAGTAATATCATGTTTCTTAAACTATTGTTAAGTAGCAGTTTAACAATCATCGTCGCGGCGGCTTTTTTAACCGACGATCAGATAATAAAAATATCTCAAGAAGAATTAAACAGGATCTCGATTTATATATTACCGCAACATTATGATATCATCGTTACATATATCGAAAAAAATATTCTTGTCAGCAACTGCAGTATACGTACACAGATTAAATATTCAACATCAAGCATTATATTGTATTTACACGTAAAAAATATTAATCTAATTGTGGTTTATTATCCAAATTATTATTCTATGAATGATACTAAAACTACGAACATTTATACATCGGTAAGATCTATGTATGATGTTGAGAAAAACATTGTCGAATATACATTCGCTGAAGATCTATTGCCAGGATATTGCATCATAAAATTAGTTTATAATATAACTGAAGGTACAGGCTTAAAAAACTTTTATAAAAGAGATGAGCGACAGTGGTAAGTAACTGTTAAAATGTTAAATACATAGTAATTTCATGATGTTTATGAGCAAGCTCTGGTAAAGCATTTTGTTTCTATTTAAAAAGTATTTTCTAAGAAAAACAAATTTATACATAGACATGTATGTATCTGAAATGTTTCCATTCTTAATTATATGTTTCTTAATATCTTTTGGTAAAAAATTTTGCAATTTAATATTATCATTAAAATGTAAGATGCAAATATTTAGTATTATTATTAAAATATCATTTAATATTATTATTAAAATGTAAGATGCAAATAAAAATTAATTTAATTAAAGTAGTCAGCAATAATACACGTCTTATACAGCATTTTATATTGTCAACACTCGAACGAAATCAAATATTCCGGTAGAGTTCCGAATTATTTTCAAAATATAAGTATGATTTTGAAGAATTTATATTTTTTAAACTTGTTTATATGTAATTTGAAATTTTGAACAAACACATAAGTTTTACACTGTTTATTTTGACAATACTAAACTTTAGGAAATTCATTTCTAATATTTAAAAAAGTTTATAATTTAGAAGGAAAACATTTCCAGACACATGTTTATATGAATTCTTTATCCTTATTGTCCATAAAAATCATTATCAAAATTTGATTAGTTCATGAACACTTACAACTTTCATAAACACTCTGCATATAATACATATAATTAAACATATAAGCTATACTTATGCTGTATGTTTCATGTATTTAAACGTGCATTTACACACACAGATATTATTTAGAAATAATACTATTTTTGCTAATAACTAAGATATATATACATATGTGTTTTATTTAATAAACCATCGCTAAAATAGCCAGTTTCTTTCACTTGTATAAAATTATGTACAAAATCGTTGATAATATATCAATTGAAATCATTTAAAAAAAGTTATTATGCTAATACTATTTTTTACTGAAATTTATTTTAATTTTATTATACGCATTAAAATTTTGATACTAAAATATTAATTACTAAATATTTATTTTGTACCTATATATTCTAAAATAAACATTTTACGAATCCCGCACAACTAAAATATATGCAACTTTTATCCAATTTCATAGAAACCACTTTTGCACAAGGTTTTTGCGGTGTCTTTTATTATTGTTAATTCATATTTCTAAATGTGATAGGTTGGCAACGTATGTTGATATTGGGATCCAACACATGCTTCCGTCTTTGCCCGTATCTTTAGGAGCCACCATGCCCATCTATGATATTATTGTTGAACATTATCAAAACTATACAGTTTTATCAAACAAACCGATACAAGAAAGAATAGAAACGAATGATAAAAACATGACGAAGACACATTTGCATTCGCTTGTAAAACCTATTTATCTACTATTTCTGGCTAACCGAAATAATTTCTCTCTTATGCGTGGTACAAATGAAAGTATCAGAGTTAATATGTGGTGTAGAATGCACTGCGAATTTGCACACCAATTTGCTGAAAATATAACATCGTACTTGTTCGATAAATGGAAACGTTTGAATCAAACTTGGGAAATAAATCATATTGCACTTCCGGATTTTCAAAACGAAAGCATCATAAATCTGGGCCTTATTCTTTATAGGTAATTATATAGTTAGAAAAAATTAATATATTTTAAAGATGAAAAAGAGAACAACAATTCTTGATAACTAAAATTATTTACATATCTTTTCTCTATTTTTAAAATATTATTTGAATATATTTTAGAAAATAAGTTATATTGTATAAAGCAATAAAAGGAGAAACATATCTAATCGTTTATTGTTAGTCCAATTTATTATTGTCCAGAAAGTTATTGCGATTTCTGTTGTTTAAGATTTGGTGCTTTTTTCATGTTGGTTTTCTTTTGTATTTATATTGTATTTATATTGTAGTTATATTGTAATTATATTGTAAAACCACAATAATTTTCTGGACAACGTGTCTTCAATGTACATTAACTTATATGAAAAATAATATTAAAATATATATATATTTTATAATCTTAAAATTGAAAATTACAAATTGAAATATAAAATTGTAAATTAATTATATTAAGATATAAGTATAGGTATAAGTATTATATTAAGGTTTTCACCTTTATTAATCAAAATTTAAAGAAATTTTATATATATATATATATATATATATATATGTATACATAGTGCGATGCTCGCTTCCAACATATTGCATTACTTCGTAATGTGCATTTAGAAATAAAACATTAATAATAATATATAATTAATATGTTAATTTAATAGAATCATTTAATTATAAATTTGGAAATACAGTATTTTTTATGTGTTATTATACAACAGAAATAATCATATATAAAACATTTTTTTTACTTTTCAGAGAAGCAGATATTATCTACAATGACAATGTAGATTCTGTTGCCACTAAAATCAAAGTTGCTCGATTCGTGGCCCATAAAATAATACAGGAATGTTCTTATTATGAAAATCCACTTTGGCTATCATCCTCTTTGTTAAATGAGGCTATTGTCTCATTTCTTGGATTATATGTCACCACTCAGGTTTTAAGCATTTTAAGCATTCTTTAGTGCAAACTTTTCTCACTAGCAAACAATATGATGGATATAGTACATATATAGAGTATTCTAAAAGTCCTAGAATGCTATTATAAAATATCTCGAAAACCATCAACTATAATGAAAAATATGCAAGGAACAAAATTGTAGGACTAAATAAAATGTACTTAGTGATGATAAGAATTTGAACTTGAATGAAATACTCAAAGTCATATGAAGATCAAGTTGATTTTTCTAAATAAAACTCCCCATTTTTTATTGTATATTCTTATAGCCCTTCTTTAGACCTTTTCAAATCACTATAATTTAGTTTCCATTAAGTGCCTTCCGAGTTATGAGGCTTGAAATTATTTCTTAATTTTACATAAACCGTAAAAAATCTTGTAAAATGATCATTTTCCGATTATCTTACCGTAAAGTTAAATATTTACCATTATAGAGGGTAATTTTTTTTATAAATCAAAATATTAGGTGAAGATTTTATATTTACAAAAATAAGTGAGTTTTTTAAAAATGCTTATTTTCAAGTAAATCTGCAACATACATAGATAATACAATTTAAAATAGTTTTACATTTTTGTTTCTTTTATTTTGTGCGTGAGTCAAAGTCACTATGTTACATTTGTCCGACTTTAAATTATTATATAAAAAAAAAGAAAAATTATCATTCAGATTCCACGTAATATATGTATAAATATAGAAATTGTGTAATAAGTTAATTTTGCTATATAATATATTTTAATAATTCTAGAAATATTTAGTTTTAAAGATATATGTCGAGTAATCATTTTTGTTATGAATATATTATATTTTTAAATTATTTATTCTATATTTTAAGTGTATAAGAGTATAACAAATTTTTTTTACATACACGTAGAAAGTAGCAGCTCTAATGCATATTGCTATTGTGTGTTAAATATAATATTAATTAAATAAATACATTTAAACTATTTTCTATAGGCTCTCCCAAGTACCCGGATGATGGACATTTTTTTGGTACAAATTCAACACGAATCCCTTCATTTCGATACTGAATATGATGCATCACTTTATAATACATCACTCAACATTTCTTTTAAACATTACGATCACATTAAAGGTATGATAATGTAATTAAAAATTGATTATGCGTAGATTGTTGAATATAAATGCTTAAAGAACAAACAGAATAACTGATAAAAACTTTAATTTTATATACTCTTCATTATCACATACACACAGATACATATACATACATAATAGAGCTGGAGTATATAAAATTATAATATATAAAATATATTACATATACAGGATGTTTCTTTCTAAGTGATACAGTCGATTATTATCTCGCAAACCGATAATTTTATTGAAAAATTTTTTGATCGAAAGTTGCATAACTTGAAGGGATAATGAAAATATGGACTTGATCTTGTCAAAGTCAGGACAAGATCTTTAATGCTTTTTAAATGAAAAATCATCTATTTTTTTATTACTAGTCTTGTATTTACTTCGAGAGCTTTCAAAACGCTGCAATAAAGTATTTTTTCATTGAGTAATTTCAGTTATGCATTAATTTTACATAAGCTATAAATATCTAGTAAAATAGTCATTTTTCGATTATCTTACTTAATACTTTTATGTAAAAATAATGAGACGATTCAATTGGTGTAAAGAAAGAACATAGTTGTTTAAGAAAAAATATGTAATTGTCAATTGCAAATTAATGTGTTTAATATCAGTTTGCTTAAGAAAAGTATTAAAATTGTCAAACTTTAACTTGTTATATCTTTTAAACAATGTCGCCTCTCATTACTTTTTTTGCGCGGAGGATAACTCTTCTATAACATTATCAAATGATGATAAAATCGGGTATGCGTAACGTTTTATGTACTTTTACCAAATTATTAATTATTTACTATAACTATTTATCATTATTTATACTTCTGATGAATTATATTATAATTTATTAGTAATTACATGTACTTGCGTGTAGCTACAATCTTGTATTACT